TTGCTATGAGTTGGACTGTGGCCCCTAAAATTTCATGTGTTGAAGTCTTAACCCAAAATATTTCAGAATGTGACCTTAAAGGTCACTGCAGCTATAATTGGCTATGATGAAGTCATACTGGAGTAGAGTGGGCCCTTAATCCAATATGACTGGTGTCCTTTTAAGAAGGGGCAATTTGGGACTTCCTGGGCCATCCTGTGGTTAAGACTCAGGGTTCCCAATGTCAGCGGCATGGGTTCAATCCCTAATGGGAGAACTAAGATCCTGCATGCCATGTGGGGCAGCCAAAAAAAAATTATGCCAAGAAGGGGAAATTTGAACATGAAGATAAACACACAGAAAGAATGCCATGTGAAGAGATACAGGGAGAAAACAGCCACCAACAACCCAAGGAGAAAGGCCTGGAACACATCCTTCCCTCACAGCCCTCAAAAGGAATCAACTCTGCTGACACCTTGATTGAGGACTTCCAGCCTCAGCAGTAATGAATTTGCCTGCCAATACAGGAGACACGGGTTCGATCCCTGGCTAGGGAAGGTCCCCTGGAGGAGGGCATGGCAACCCACTCTAGTATTCTTGCCTGGAGAATCCCACGGACAGAGGAGCCTGGCAGGCTGCAGTCCATTGGGGCGCAGAGTCAGACACAACTGAGCAACTAAACAACAACAGTCTCCAGCAATGTACAACAATACATTCCTTTCCTGTAGGTCACCTAGTTTGTGAGCCCTTGCTGCAGCAACCCTGGCAAATCAATGCAGTGATAAATGCTAAATTCTTCTCACAGATGAAGGTTTCTTAAGCTGGGCACTGCTGAGATTTGGGACCAGACAACTCTATGAGGTAGGAGCCCATCCTGCACCTTGTAGGATATAGCAGCATCCCCAGCCTCTATCAACATATGCATGTCTCTCTCACACACACACACACACACACACACACACACACACACTCTCTCTCTCTCTCTCTCTCTCTCTCTCTCCTCTTCCCCTGGAACATGCACTCTATCAGCGACTATTTTCAAAGAAGAAACAAGTCACAGAAATTCTAAGGAAAAGGTAAAAAGTCTAGCTCAGAGTCCAGTCACAACTTCCCCAATGGCAAATAAAGTAGAAGACTTTCACAAATATAGATCTTCACGATCTGTAAATGAAGCCCCAAAGTGAAATCCCATCTTTCCACCTCCAGAAGAGAAGGGCTACATAGGAAGGCTGAGGATTTAACTGGAACCTTTATCAAACTATTATAAAACTACAATGAGATGACCCATTGAAAGGGATTATTTCGCAAAGTAACTCCCGCGGCCAAAAAAAGGCCAATTAGAGTCAGAAGAGCAAAATAGTGATTTGGAACTTCAGTTTCAGCTCACTTGAAGTCAGAGTATGCTGAAATTGAAGGGCAAGGAAAGGTCAATTTTTCTGGGTGTGTATATTTTTATGGGTGGAACCAGAGGAAAGAAACAAGAGCTCCAACATTATATGGTGGAACAGAGGAGAAGAAATTACTGTATTGTAATTTCTTGAAAACTCTGGAATGCATTCTATTCAATTCTCTCATATGTTACTTGGTTCACTAATCAAACTTTTGAATCAAGTTTGGAGGACTGAGCGGCTTCTTAAAATTCAATTAAAATTATGTGAAAAGATCCACATCATGATAGGCTCCATTTAGAGATGCACTTGCCAGGAAGACTTTTTTCTCTTTTCATCTTAAAACAGAGTTCAGGAAATACTAGTTTAATTTTCTCTTTGTTTCAATATTTTATGATTATCTCCCAATGCATAGTCTCTGAAAGCATCATTAGATTCTTGACTTGATGCAATTTCAAATGATGTGAAAGATTTTATTTGCATGAACTCTACATGCTGAAAGTTTTCCTTTTTTTTCCTTTTGTGTCTAGAAAAATAGTTGTAAGGTACAAAAGTATATTCCAATCCTCTATATCAACACATGTATACTGAGAACTAATGAAAAAATGTCCCTCTAAGTTATTGAGTGTTATTGAAAGAATTATTCTTCATGATCACTGCAGAATTCCCTTTCTTCAAATAATGGAATTATACTAACAGAAGTAAAAAGAAAAATTCAAACAGCAGACACTTGAGTCCTTAAATATTCAAGTAAGTAAAGCAAACCTATCACATTATGAATGAAAGCATCCTCAAATTTCTCCATGCTTTTGTTTCCATATCATCAGAAATCCATTTTTGTAAGTGATGCTAAAGCCTCAGGAAAATATACTAACAGAACTCATTTACTTTCTCAGGTCAAAGTAATTAACAAAAATACAATTTTTGTTTGTTCGTTTTGGTCCTTTCAGTATGCTATTCCTTTCTTCAAAAACCCGATGTTTATACTGTAGTTAGGTTTTGAAATACCATGGACACCCAAATGTCATCTATTCTATGATTTTTTTGTTCTAACATAAGTGGCATATTTTAGAACAAACAGGCTATGCTAGCATGCTTTTTGTTTAAATGCTGATAAGCATATTTTGTGAAATGGCTGTAAATAAATACTTATAAGCATACTTTGTTGAGTAGCTATAAATGTGTTTCAGCCTACTGGGTGCTGTTTATATGATTATATTTCTGTAATTATAAGATAAAATCTACCAGGATCATTAGTTGTCAGGCCCTCCTGGTAACAGTATAAATGACCACTAGCCTACTGGCTTCATTAGACCAGTGTTCAAGGCTCATAATTGAAGAATTTCATTTTCATCACAAAATGGGCTAGAACACGTAAGTGCTTCCTCTTAAATTTGGAGATGTAAATAACTAAGGACTCCTCTTTGATGGGACAAAAGTAATGAGAAGAACTCAAATACCAGGTTTAAATATCAAGTCTTGGAGTTGCTGATATCAAACCTCAAGTGTGGTGTTTTCACACGTGGTCATTAAGCAGTATTAATCCAATTAAAGGAACAGTTTTTGATAAAGAAAAAAATCCAATCTGGCAGCTTCATATTTTGGAAAGCAAAAACACTTACCTTCTTGAAAACAAACTTCTGCTTACCAAAGGTGAAAGGTTGGGGGAGGAATAAATTAGGAATTTGGAAGTAACATATACACACTGCTGCTGCTGCTAAGTCGCTTCAGTCGTGTCTGACTCTGTGCAACCCCATAGACGACAACCCACCAGGCTCCCCCGTCCCTGGGATTCTCCAGGCAAGAACACTGGAGTGGGTTGCCATTTCCTTCTCCAATGCATGAAAGTGAAAAGTGAAAGTGAAGTCACTCAGTTGTGTCTGACTCTCAGCGACCCCATGGACTGCAGCCTACCAGGCTCCTCCATCCATGGGATTTTCCAGGCAAGAGCACTGGAGTAGGGTGCTATTGCCTTCTCCGAACATATACACACTACTATATATAAAATAGACAACCAGCAAGGATCTACTATAGAGCACAGGGAACACTACTCAATATTTTGTAATAACCTATAAGGGAAAAGAATTTGAAAAAGACTATATATACACACACACACACATATATATAAATATATAAAACTGAATCACTTAGCTGTACATCTGAAACTAGCACAACACTGTAAATAACTATACTTCAGTTTTTTAAAAAGGGAGGGGGAAAAAAAGCACCAATGTTCAATCATCCTACACATTCTGTCCCCCACCAAAAAAGGGCAAAAGGATCACCATAGTTTCTAAAATCTGATAGCCACAGCAATTTCTGAAGAATTTTAGCAGCACAATTCACACACACATTGCTTTGCTATTAAGAACTTGGGAGGTGTGCTTTTGGTCACCTTTGTGCATGATGCTAGAAATCTAGTCAGCATCTGTCTTCCCTTGTCTGCATTGCCCCCATCCATTGCTTAACTTCCTAGATTGATTTGTACCAGTCGTCAATGAATACTTTGAGTGAGGCATACTGCTCAGGTGATAGGTTTGTTCCCCAAATGACGTTTGAAAGCAAGGATCACGACTTGGTCCCCATAAACACAAGCCCACATCAGCGGCGAGAAGAAGTGACAGGAACTATTAGTGAGAGGTGACGATCTACTTTGAGCGGTAATGCTTTCGATCATGTGATTCATTGTGTTTGCTCAACAACACGGTGTTGTGTGTCCTGAGAGGAAGGACTTCAATATATATTTACTCAAAGCTCTTAATTCATACTTCCTTTCCTTTTAATTGGCATCTTATGATCTAAAATTAGCTGGTGAACAGAATCGACAGAAGTATCTCATGATCAGAGCAAACTCGCTCAGCTGAGTTTGCAATAATTAGACCCACCGCCGCCCGCAGATGAACAGACACCTGGAGACCCAGCTTATTTCTCCCCTGGAGCCTTCTCTCTGTGTTTAGAGAGTGATTTTTAAAATGTGATGGATAGTCATATTAATTATCATTCCCCGAGCCAGAGTTCGGTTCGGAGTTCCAGGTTAAAAATGAAGTTAAATATACTTGCCTCTACCCTTACTGCATTAAAAAGCTTCCACGAAAAGAAATTCTTTTGTAAATCCGAGACAATTGGAACACTCCAGTCCACCAGTAAGCTGGATATCATTTACGCCGGGAATAAAAGGTCACATGTCCTCTAAAATCCCACATTTGCTTTAGGCATTCCTCCTCCCTCTCTTCTTTGTTTGGGCAGTAACTAGATACTAGTACGATGCCAGTGAAATGAGTGAGGAAAATAAATGCCCCCACAAATGCCTAAACCCAGATTTTATCTGCTATTCCTTCTGACTCTCTCTCTCTCTCTTGCTCTCTCTCAACTACAAGGACTGAAAATAACCCAGATTTTTCCGAATTTGCTCTCGCCTTGACAACACTAACATTACAAGCAGCAGTCAACTTTGACAAGATACTCTTATTGTGTAACATGGCCAGGCTGCCAAAAAAACATGCTACAACGAATCAGATAACAAAAGGCGAAGAGACAAGTTTCACCTGCCACGTAGCTAGCAGTGAATACACTTTTTCTTTCCATGACATTTGCTGGCACAAAGGGGTTTGGCTTAAGGCGGATCGGACTAACCTTCAATTTGTCATAGCGCTCACTCAAAGCTGCCACCTGATGATCTCGGTGCCGCCCGACCAGTTTACACAAGGCACAGATTAACTGGTCATCGGTCACGCAGTACATATTCACCTTCTCATCCTCGTGTTCCAGGCACATCAGCCCCCGGATGTGCGAGTCCGGGATGGGCTCAATGAGACGGTGGCCTGTGAAGGGCTTCTTGTTCGGGTGAGTGGCTTTTAGGCACTCGTCACAGTAGGACACTTCGCAAGTGACACAGGTCTTCACGGCGTCCTGGGCAGGATCCTGGTCACAGAACTGGCAGAGGACTTTCTCGGCAGAGGTCATGCTGTTGGCGTCGAATGCCCGCTCCCGGCGGGTCTCGCTGGGGGAATTGGGCCCGCTCACTGAGGCTTTCTGGAACCTGTCGATGATGTTCTGGAGGGTGACGTTGCGCTTGAGCCCGTCTAGACCTCGCTGGCTGAGCGTGATGACATGCCGGCAGGTGGGGCACTGGAAGGCGGTGATGGACTCCACGGACTCGTTGGTGGCGCAGTGTGACACCAGGATGCGGTGGGCGCAGTTGAAGCAGAGGCTGTGTGCACAGGGGAGCAGGAGAGGGTCCTCGAAGAGCTCCAGACAAATAGGGCAGGTCAGCTCCGACTCCAGTGTTTCCATCTTCAGGCAAAGCTCTCCTGGGTCATCAGCAAAATCCAAGGAAGCTGATCAGCTATCTGGAAACAGAACGTAAGATGTGATTAGGCGTGAGGGGGTCAGCCATGGGGGGCTGTCAGCTTTGAGTGCATCTCAGAATAATTCCACACACAGGTCACGGGAGGGTAAATGTGTGTACATTCCAAATAATTCTCTATTCACTGGGGAAATAAGGGGGGGCGGAGAGCACCCAAAGCCAGCATATCAGCTAACATCTCCTCAAGGTTCCTGTCGCCCAAAGCAGCATTTTTTTTAATTTAATGTATTTTTCTTTTTTTGCAGTTTTGTCCTTTAAAGGGTCTCCCTCCAAACCGGCAAGTTCTTGAAACTGTAATTTCCATATCTAATCACGATAATCTTATTGTGTTATGGCCAAGTTTTCCTTGTGTTTTAAAACAAAAATGTAGAAACAGTAATTAATGAACTACAGAGTCTTTCACGACTTTGCATTTATGAGTTGACATGTTAAGTATATGTGCTTTAAGGGCTGCTACTCTGTGATACCGAACCAGGCTTCAGAGGAGAAAGGCAGTTATTGTAGAAGCGGGCATGAAATGTGTATGAAATCAATTGTGTGGTTTCAGTGGCAATCATAACGTTGCAACCGGGGATGTCAGTTTCCCAAATACACCCCCAAGAAAAAAAACAAGTGACTTTCACAAAGATGATTGTGATAGAGGCAACGTTTCTGGCATGTATTTGTTACTCTTCTGAATAATTCTATTGTTTAATCCAGCAGTGGGACGTGGGTGGGCAGAGAGAAGTGGAGAAAAATATCTGGGGGCCTTTTTAGCGGCTGCGGTGAGCTGAGGACCAGTGAGTGCTAACAATGTGGTTCATGAGAACAAGGATCATAGTGGCTACAACATTCATTTGCTAAGTTATAACAATGGTGATGATTACAGTTTAGAAAGCACTTGAAGGTAGTCGCGCTCCACCGAGGAAATTTAAAGGGCTGCCGACGGACCATAAGCGACCCTCCCAGCCTAAAATCTCCCATCAAGGGCTTGTCACTGTCACCAGCGACAGGCCGGGCTAGCAGGAGGTCCAGCCTCACACTCAGAGCCACGTTGGCCTGGGCGCGACCTCTGGCAGCTTTGTTGCTCCCCTCCAGGCTGTCTTCGGGTGGCCCAGCTGCAAGCTTCCCTTGACGGCAAGACTTGCTGCTTTTGTGAACTCTCGCCTGCCTTCCCTTCAAAAAGGGGAGGGCAAAGAATTCCACATAAACCCTGGCTCATTAAAAGGGAAGAGGCCTCATGCTCATTAGCAGGCCTGGGAACCAAGCCTCTTTGAACCTTCTCCCTTTCAAGGCCATTAGCAGAGGTCTGCGCAACAGTGACGGGCACATTAGATGCAGCCCGCTGCGGACTGTGGGAGAATCGTGCAGTTCACCCAGTAGTGCACTTCACCCAGTAGAGGCGATGTTCAAATCACCCTCCAGGGGGTTTTCTCAGCCAGATTCATGGGAAGGCTTCACATCTGAAGCTCTGTTTAGTGATTCTGACAATCAGCCTTTTTGTATTCACACCTCCATTTATTTACAAAATTCACCGTTTCTAAAATGCCCTCACCCTCTCTGAAATAGCATCCCTCAGAAATACCATGGTGTGCTTTGGTTAAACCAATGCTCACCTCGTTATCAACCGAATGGTAGCTGATCATTAAAAGCATAAAGGATGCGCCAGCCTCGTGAAAAATTAAAGAGCTGCTGGCTTCATAGAAGCCTGGCATCTTAAAGACCTCTCCAGCCATCTTCTGATATTAACTATATAAGAAAGGATAAACAGGCAGCTGAGATTTGAAATATTAAAGATTGCTTATCTTTCCACGACCTACAAATGGAAAGCCCAGGGCTGCTGTTTTGAGAAACTTATGATCCACACTCAGTCCTGGCCAACTCCTTCCTACAGATGGCTTACAATAAATTGAAAGGTTTTACCCATTAATCATCATTTTGGTTAATCATGGGAAAACAGAATAATCTCTCAATCAAATATCTTCTCACTTACCATCAGCAGAAGCATGTCAAGTAAAGGAAAAAGGTAGATCCTTTGGTCTACTATGTTGGCAGGTGAAACAAGAACACCTAATGATAGATCTCACTAGAGGATTGAGCTTGTCTGGAGAGTTTTCATGATTGCATTTTTAGGCAGGTGCCAGAATTTCATCCCAGAGAAGCACAGTCAGAATTTCTAGAGGGGATTCCACCGTGGACCCCCAGGGAAACACTGACATTTTATTCAAGAGACATTTACCGAATGCCAGGCAGTGAGCTGGCTCAAGAAATTGGAATCAGCCCTCCTCTTCATCCGCTTCCCTCTATGATCATGGGCCAAGCCAACATCCTCCCCTACCTGGCTGATCACAGTATTTTTCTAAATGGTCTCCTGGCTTCTTCTCACTGTTGCCCCCCCAACCCCCCATAGTCTATCCTCCACTCAGAAGAGCCTGTTAACACATGACAGAGCCTGCCTCGCCTCTGCTCAAGCCTCCAGGGGTTTCCCATCTCACTCCGGGAGAAGTTCACAGAATAAAACCAGCCCCAGAAAACACAGACTCAGATAGTGACCTCATTTCCTCCCACGCCAGCCCTTCTTTTGCTCTGGGCACATAGCCTCCTTGCAATCTCTCAAACACACCACGCACGTCCTGTCTCCCTTTGGCAAAGTCATTGGAATGACTCTCTGCTCGTCACCTTCTTTGTGAACCCACATGAAATGAATTCCCCTATTCCCACTGTGACCACCCATTTACCCATGCGGCAACCCGTCTTCCCCATCTCCATTTGTTTCCTTCCATAACATTCACCGACATAGTCTATTAGTTTGTTCACTGCTCCATCTCTCCCCATGGCCCCACCACTAGAGTATCAAGTTCTAGGAGGGCACAGACTTTGCTTTGCTCTTTGAGGGATGCACCACCAGCACCTAGAACAGTGCCTCACACACATTAAGACTCAAACATTCATTGATTGAGTTAATATAAGTACCAACATTGGGGCTGAACCCAGAACAATAAAACATAACCCTTGCTTTCAATAATCTCTCAATATGTCAGAATAGAGGTCAGCAAACTTTCCCTATCAAGGCCAAGGCAGTACACGTTTCTGGTACTGCAGGCCAGACAGTCTCTATTGCAATGACTCAATTTTGCCACTGTAGCAGGCAAAAGCAGTCATATGCAATACAGAGATGAATGATCATGGCTGTCCAATGGGATTATATTTACAAAAGCAGGTAGCAAGCTGGATTTGGCATACATATCTTATTCTGCTGACCCGTATTTTAGAAGACAGAGACATGTACAGTCAACAAAATAGAAATGAAGAGCACTTTCAGAGAGGTATGAATAAAATGCTGCACTGGCAACAATAGCCATGCCAGCAGGATAAGACCTCAACAAGCACATACAAGTTTCGAGTGCTAATGGGAAATGCTAGACGACAGGATTCCACCCTGCCATCCATGGACACAGTGTGAGTCAAGTCCTCAGGGGCAATTCACCTAAGAATGATTTAATAGCAGCTGCTCAGAAATGGATCATTTTTCTTTTATTGCCCTGGTGCTTGGCGTGGCACTTTATACAAGTGTCTATGCTATAAATGCTGTTGGTTAATTGTATTAAGTGATGACAAAATATCGAGATGCAAAGTGAGATTTGGCCATTTTTCTGAACCTCTGGCCTGTAGGCTGCCAGAAAGGAAGGGATTTTGACTTGCTGTCTACAGCAGATCTCATTTTTATTACTTTTATCCAGATTTTCCCATGGTAGCGCTACTCTTATGAAACCATTCAACAATATATTACCACTAAGCACAGATGCCATTCCCTTCTCTTTAAAAAAAAATGGCATGGCTTATTTTCTAGCTTTCTTTAAAATGATGGTGTTTTTGTTTTGTTTTATTTTGTTTTGAGACATGAAAATGCCATTCATTCTTTCACCAAATAGTGAACTCCCTCTAGGTAAAGGGTCCTGGGACAACTAATCGTAACACCTGCCTGCCCCCCTCCACCTTCAGTGATCTTATGGTCTATTATGGGAGAGAGAAAACAAATTGTCATCCAACGTAACAAAAGACTGGGAGAGAAGAGGATGTAGAAGCTTCCTGAAGCAGGCAACATGCAATGTGGGTTTTAAAGACTAAGAGGGGTCACCAAGCACACAGAGATGTGGGAGTGGGAGTAGATTTTGTGCAAAATGTGATCTTTTTCTTTTTTGAACTCCTGCAATTTAATTTCCAGGCCTCCAATTAAGAGAGAGAGAGACATTGACTCTTAGCCTTCACTACAATGGAAGGAAATCAGACGTGCATATCACCGTCAGGAAATGCTATAGCTCAAGATTTTTCTGAATGGGCTGATTGGTTCTCATTCAGAGGAGGATGTCGGTCATCGTGGGAACCTTTGCAACAAACCAGGGATGAAAAACAATTCACAGTTCACATCTCTGCTCGTCCACCGTTTATGGTCCGTAACAGGGCACAGAAGAGTGAGGGGAAAGAGTTGGGCGGGTGGCCAGACAATGGAGTCTGATCCACAGCTCTGCTCTTTCTTAGCTGTGTGTCCCTGGGGTAGCACCCACAGATGTTCTCTCCAATTCTCTCCAATCACAGCCCTCAGCGGTGGTCTTTGGTCACAGGATGCAGCTAAGCACTGGATGCTGGGAAGCACTGGCCGCCAGACATCTTTTCAAAAAACTTTCTTACAGACTCAAGACTTCGGAGGAAAGCACTTCTTTCAAATGAAAAATGAATAAATGGATATTTATTTTCCACATCTCTCCCTGTCTCCTTTACCTCCCCTTCCCCATTTTGTGTAGCACTGAGATGGGGGCTTTTCTGGTTTTCTTCTCTAACCACATCTGACTTCTCCTCCAGCTAAGCAAAGACTGTATGTGTGTGCATGTACAGTCAGTCACCTCCAACTCTGCAACCCCATGGGCTGTAGCCCACCAGGCTCCTCTGTCCATGGAATCTTCCAGGGAAGAGTACTGGAACAGGTTGCCATTTCCTACTCCAAGG